GGTGCTGGTGCTGGTGCTGGTGGTGGTGGTGGTGGTGGTGGTGGTGGTGGTGGTGGTGGTGGTGCGGCGCGGTGGTGGCGGGCGGATGGCGCGCGAGAAAAAGGCCCGCGCTGGGGCGAGAACGCCATCCTGAACGACGGAGGCCAAACACCGATCCGAAAATGAGGCCCACGCTGCAGCGGGAGCACGATTCGGAACGATTCGGGAGCAGAAATGAGGCCGGCGCCTCAGCGAGAGCAGCATTTTGGAAAACAACGCAGGCGAAAACCCGTTTCCCGGGAATACTGTGTGTAAACAAACAGTACGCGGGGGGGGGGGTCGGCCATCTTCGGGACGCCATCAGGGAAGTGGGCGAGTATTTTCATATTGTGCAATTGTGGAGGAGGAGGGAGGGAGTAGGGAGGAGGGAGGAGGGAGGAAGGAGGAGGGAGGGAGGGAGGAGGAGGGAGGAGGGAGGAGGAGGAGGAGGGAGGGAGGGAGGGAGGAGGGAGGGAGGGAGGAGGAGGAGGAGGGAGGGAGGAGGAGGAGGAGGAGGAGGAGGACGGAGGAGGAGGAGGAGGAGGAGGAGGAGGAGGAGGAGGAGGAGGAGGCCGCCGTGCCAGCGCCCAAGGTCGAGCGATCTTCCGGCAGCGTCGGGAGGATGGCAGCGCCCGGGTCGCCCCAGCAAGGGCCTGCGCGGCGCGCTCCCTCGAGCGCCCAGCCGCCCAGGGGCAGGTGTCCCCGACGGCGGAAAGTTTATTTTATACCGTTGTTCGCCCGTTAACTACTGCGGGACCGGCGGCGCGGAGTTCGGGGCCGTCCGGAGCGCGTGCAGCATGCTCTCTAAGGTGGAGGGCGGCTCCGGCTCGGCGTGTGGCTCTCGCCCCCGCGCCGCGCGCACGCGCTGCTCCACGAGCGCTCGCGGCAGTTCCAGGGGAGTCGTGCGGTCGAAGCCTCCTCGGGTGTGCTAGAAGTACCCCTGGCCCCTGGCCCAAGGTGCCCCCAGCTTTTCGCTTCGTTTTGGAGCCCCTGGGGCCCTCTGGGCCTCGTGAGGGGTGCTTTGGAAGCCGTTTGGGCTACCCCGAAATTCCTGGGGGCACCTTGGCCCAGGGGCACCTCTAGCAACGCCCGAGAGTGGTGCCCTGACACGGCTTCAGACTGTCAATGCGTAGCCGTATCCTCGATTCGCGGTGCTGAAGCACCAGAAATGATGTTCTGGCACGGACTGTCAGGACGCAGCAGTCACCGTTGCTTCGCGGCGTTGAGGTCCCAGGGATTGTGGACGGCACGCTCGAGGCTCCTCAGACGGTTGTTTTCCAAAGGGCGATTCCCCGTGATGAGAATATAGGTTTGTGGGATCAGGGATCAAAGAAAGGGGATTTGGAGGGATGCTGTATTGCAACATCGTTGATGCGTTTTGAATTTGCACTTCTCCTCCTCCTCCTTCTCCTCCTCCCCCTTTTCCTCCTCCTCCTCTCCTCACCTCGTCATCCCCCGCATGCCTCATCACTTCCTCTCCTCACCTCGTCATCCCGACTCCTTACCACCGCCTTCTGTTCCCCCGTCTTTCTTATCCTTGTCATCCTCCTTGCCCTCTCCGTCGCCTTCCCTCTCGCCGCTCTCCTTGTCTTCCCCCAGGCCCCCCTCGCTCTCCCCGAGGGGGGAGTAGCGGCAGGTGGAGAAGGACGGCGGATATTACGAATGCAAAGTACAAGGATTAAGTCGGGCCTGTCTCTCTACAGGAGGAATATTCCCAAATAGTCAACAAATAGTCTGGGGACTATTTTTTCAGTATTAGGGGTATTGTTTGGGTATTTTGGGAGTATTTAGATTTCGTCCAAAATCGGCCTGTGGGGGGACAAGCCCGACTTAACACAAGGAATTGGAGCAGGAATAGTGGGCTGGGGCGTCGCATCAGCACCGACGGATACTGTCCGCAGCGTTGTCTTTAGGAGGAGGAGGAGGAGGAGGAGGACAAGACTAGGACGAGCGACAACAGGCGGATGATAAGGAATTGCGACCAGCGTAAACCCAAGGCTCATGAAAGATGTTGCAATAAACCTTCCATCCACGGCCGCTTCATAGCAACAATACATTTCCATTGCGGGAAGTACCCCATTGAAAGACAATCGTTTGACAATATTTACTTGTTCTAACATACAATTCCTGGGACTTCAGCGCCGCGAATCCACGTGACAGTTGGGCCCTGACAGTCCTAAATCGCGCCAGAACGCAGTTCCTGGGACTTCAGCGCTGCGAATCAAGGATACTGCCGCGCATGGGGGATCTTAAACAGTGCCAGAAAACCAATCCTGGGTCTTCAACTTTTGCGAATCCTTGAATGTGTTGCAAACTGTTTAGGCGAATGCGCGCTGCGCTAAGGCGAGAGCCACAGTTTGAAAAGGAACCGCCCTTAATGTCAGAAAGGGCTGTACAATGTGACAACGAATGTGCTCGGCGCTAGGGTGAGAGCCAGAATTTGAAAATGACCCGCCTTCTGTCCTTGAAACGGTTGCAACGTTCGAAAACAATTTGGCGCTGCGCTAAGGCAGCCACATGCTGGAAACGACCCGCTCTCCATCCTTGACATTGCTGTCAAGGTTTAGACGAATGTGCGCGGCGCGAAGGCGAGAGCCACATTTTTAGGAGGACCCGCCCTCCATCCTTGAAGCTGTTGCCAAGTCCGAGCTTCGGGATCGGAAATGGTGAAAGAGTCTCAGGCGGAACGCCTGGCCCGCTATACCGACACGTCTCGGGGTGCGACAGGGAGGAGTTACTTGTATGGAAAAAGGGGGAGGAGGCGAAGGACGACGGAGGAGGAAGGAGGAGGAGGAAGAGGGCGGAAGAGGAGGGAGGAGGAGGAGGAAGAAGAATAAGAAGAGGAGGATGAGGAGAAGGAGAGAATAGGAGGACGAAGAGGAGGAGGAGGAGGAGGAGGAGGAGGAGGAGGAGGAGGAGGAGGGAGGAGGAGGGATGAGGAGGAGGGAGGACGGAGGAGGGAGGACGGAGGAGGATGGAAGAGGACGGGGGGAGGATGGAGGGGGAGGAGCAGGAGGATGAGGATGTGATCACAGGACGGAGGAGGAGGAGAGGAGGAGGACGCAGGAGGAGGAGGAGCAGGAGGAGGAAGGGAGGAGGAGGACGCAGAGGAGGAGGGAGGAGGAGGACGGAGGAGGAGGATGGAGGGGGAGGAGCAGGAGGATGAGGATGTGAGAACAGGTCGGAGGAGGAGGAGGAGGAGGAGGAGGAGGAGGATGCGGCGGCGGGCGAAAGGAAGTTCATGGGCGGCACCTACACGCAGCTGGCGGAGATGGCGGGGCCTCTGGACCTCGCCCAGGTGGCGCTCGAGCGGAAGGAGGGCACCTCGGCC